TGTAAGCACACAACAGACTCCCACTTGTCAACAAATGCTAGCGGCTGGCCTGTCTTAGCGAGGGTTTCTACTGCTGTGAAGAGACACCAGCAACTCTGATCAAGGAAAAACATTTCGTTGAGGTGGCTTACACTTTAGGAGGTTTAATCCGTTATCATCATGGTAGGAAAGGCAGCGTGCGGGCAGACATGGTGCTGAAGAAACAGCTGAGAGTCCTACTCAAAGGCAACAGGAAGTAGACTGTCTCAGTGGGCGTGGCTTGGGCATATATGAACCCTTAAAGCTCACCTCCACAGTGACACACGTCCTCCAGCAAGACCAGACCTATTCCAACAAAGCCACACTCTTAACAGGGCCGCTCCCTTCGGAGCCATTTTCTTTCAAACCACCACAGGACCCAAAATTTCTGAATAAAATAGACCTTCATCTTCCTACCTCAGTTCTCTTCAATACACCAAGCAGTGAGAGCTGATTCTCTTCTGGGTGCAGAGCGATGCAAAGATATAAGTCTTCGTTAATGTGCTACTGCTGTGAAGAGAGGCCATGACCATGGCAACTCTAACAAAGGACAACATTTCACTGGGGCTGGCTTACAGTTTCAGAGGTTCAGTCCGTTATCGTCACGGTGGGAAACATGGTAGCAGGACGTGGCGCTGGAAAGGTGGCTGAGAAAGCTGCATTTGGATCGGCAGGCAGCAGGAAGAGGAAGACACTGGGCCTGGCTTGAGGATTTGAAAGCCCCAAATCCACCCCCAGCTTCCTCCAAACAAGGCCACACTTCCTAAGAGTGCCACTCCCTACGAGCTTAGGGGGCCATTTTCATTCAAACAACCACAAGATAGCTGAGGTCCTCTGCCAGGCAGGGAGCAGCAGTTATGATATTGTACATGGGGGACCCTGGCTGGCTGGGCCAGGGTATCTCCCTCGTGCAGGGAAACATGCCAGGCAGATGCAGCGGCGGGCTGCGGGCCATGAATAGTCAGTCATATCCCTTTATTATAATAGAGAGATGAAGAGAAAGATATGGAAAGAGGGAGGCAGAAAGAGAGAGGGTGCGCACCTCACGGGAATGGAGGGAGAGAGAGCGAGCGGGGGAGGGGCAGTTTCTTTTTTAAAGGGGACTTTACATCAGGCCACTGGGCGGGTCTCCAAGGGATGGGTCTCCAAGGGGCAGGTCAGAATACTAACATTCCTCCGTTTTGATCATTATAAAAAGGTGAGCTATGGATAGCAAGTGGGGGAACAAGGACACTGAATTCTGGAGACTGCTTCTTGCTGACAAGGGGTGAAATGGGGAGAGGGGAGTCATGCACATCGTGGGGAGATCTCAGGCGTCCATCCGTCTATCTGTCAGTTCCTTGAGGGAGCTGAGAAGGTAGGTTGCAGTCATGGTACCAATGTTGT